TCCTTCCTTCCTCTCGTGCTCTCTCTCTTCTCTCTCTCTCTCTCTCTCTCTCTCTCTCTCTCTCTCTCCTCCTTCTTCTCTCCATTTGCCCACCTCTCTTCCATACCTTCCTCATCGTCCCTCTTCCCTTTACGCTTATTATTGCGGCTTACGTCTTGCTTTGCATACCCATATCGGCTAAATACATGGCTTTAATAATGCATGAGCTGTGCTGAGCAGCGGCTACGGCGGTGCTAGAGGAGGTGGCGGAACGTTCCATTCGGTGGTCTCTCTCTCTCTCTCTCTTTCTCTCTCTCTCTTTTTCTCTTGTTCTCACGACTTAGGGGTGTACGTATCTCTAGGTCTCTCTACGTTCACCTAAATAAATCCCGTTCGTTGTTCGTTTCGACTCTTTTCGAATCACTTTCGCTTGCGACACCTGCAACCACACCGCCGTAGGCTGGTGACAGGTAATCCTGTTCGTTCCTTTCTCACTTTATATCTTTTCTCTTCTAAACTAGGCGCCGCTAGTTTAACTCAAAATCCGCAGGCAAAGTTAATCCTCGGACTTTGATTTCTGATCGTTCGTTCGTCTTTCTCTCTTTCACTCTTTCTCTTGCTCTCTCTGCTCTCCCTTTTCTCTCGTTTCTGTGTCCTCCTTGCGCCGTTTAACGGCGGTCGATCAACGGCGGAGCGTTACCGCTTCGAAACGCGCTATTGAAAAGCAACCACGTATTCGTGTGTATATGTGTGTGTGTGTGTGTGTGTGCATACATGTACACGGACACGTACGTATACGTATGTATGTATTCGGACGAAACGAACTTTCTCTGGGCACGTGTTGCAAAGCAACTCGGTCACGCCGCGGAACTCTTTCGGTCGGTACTTTTCGGAATGGACGAAGCGAGCCGTGTAACGGCCGGTTCATCTCATGAAATTCAATCGAGGATCTTCGGTGGCGAGATCGAAGAATTTTTGAAGGACGACGCGGCCGGGCCAAGTCGATTCCACGGCTTGCTGACTCTCTCGCCCGTTAATATGTACGAGCCGGGCCGGTATCGATGGTACACCGAGATCCTTGATCTCGGGCTCGCGAGGGAACGACTCTTTCTCTCTCTCTCTCTCTCTCACCCCTTCCAACCAACTGTTCGAAAGCGTGTTTGGAGGGCGTGACAACGACGGTTTTTAAATCGTTCCGTGTCTCGTTTCGATAATTCCGCGAAGTTTATAACACGACCCGTTGTAAAATTCGAAATTCGAGCAAAAAATCGCGCGAACATTCGACGTTCCGCCTTGATCGCTAGCCAACGATACGAAAATGACGCAAATAACGGAAAAATGGGGATCCCTTAATAGCAGGTGGTACTTTGACGCCGCTCGCGCCACTGACGATGCAAGAACTAAAATTGAGCCAAACATTGGACGGGGCTAACATGTCTCCTTACCACACCACCGGTGAGTTCGCCACCTCTTTAGTTTTCTTACGGTCTTACGGGTCATACCTTGTGCGCCATCCATGTGTGCGATTCGAATCATATCGCGAAAACTTTTGTCTCTCTGATTAAAACGTCTATCTATTTTTTTTTCTTTTTTTTTTTTTTTCTTTTTTTTTTTTTCTGACAAAAATTCATCCATACGATAATTCGACGATAATTAGAAAAGATATCGATTCGATCCTAATTATCCCGTCTCCTCCACTCATTGCTCGAAATAACAATCGAAGAATATTTTTCACGAATATTATTCACCTATTCCGTAAACCGGACACGTTTCCTTACGAGGAACGGTCTCGAGAAAGTCGAAGAAATATCCATAACGTACGTAGAATGTAATTGTACCCATTTTCCCTTGTCAAGAAATCGCGTGTTTACACAGACAATTACGCGGGAATTCTCTAGTCAAGAGAGTGCTTCGTACGTTTTTCTTTTTTTTTTTTTTTTAACGAAAATAAAAATTTCCATAAATATTATTCACGATTTCGTCGTGTCGTCCCAATTGATCACACATCAATCGTCCTTATATTATACCCTCGCCCCGCCCGCCCCCCCCCCCAGCCCCCTCTTCCCCCCTATTACATCTCATTCAGAGACAATTTAATTAAGCTTTAGACGTAAGGCGCTGATCGTTAGCTAGTGCTTGACTCGAATGTCGTGTTGTGTTGTGCATGGCCATAGCAGAGAGCAGTACCGTCGCAGTGTCGTATGTGGGGGTGGGGGCCGGTGGGGGGGAGCAGAGTCCCCCGATTTCGTTGCAGAACGAGACAAACGCCACCCCCACGGCCCCCAACACCCCCGGAGGGGACCCCGGGCTGACGGTCTTGCAGCCGCCAGTTTCTCAACCCCAGGTAGCATCTGCGATACCACCGTACTCCACGATGCTTCCCAGTTTCGGACACTACGCCACCGGTGAGTACACTGAACACGGACCAGCCACGTCCTGCCCTCCTATCTATCCCTCGACGTTACCGACGTTACGATAAAAGAAAAAAAAGGAAAGAAAGAACGGAAGGTAAGTTAGGGCTCGCCCTACAGTGCCCTAACTTACCAGCCCCCGCGGCCAGTAACTACGATCGTGCCGATAAATGGCGCGCATGGTGGTTGCCAACGCGCCTGGTTGCTAACTTGCTCCTTGGGTACTTTTTAGTTTAGAGAGTACGAACGAGGAAATGCAAATGGAATTGGCCGGGAATGTAGATCACTTATCGTACGATTAGAGTCGGGAATAATGAATTTCCGTTCCCTTATCGATATCAGTTTTCGAAGCTTTTAATGGCTAACGTGAATATGTTCGTGCATTTTGTTTAGGTGGTGGTGATTATGCATACAGTGCGGCATACTCTCAATACTCGAGCGCACCGTACAGCGGCTACGGTTATGGAGCAGCGACAAGCGGGTTGCTCAGTAAGTAAACAGTGAGTATGAGTACCGATTAGATTAGGGGTCAACGAAATGTCAAGTATTAATTCATTGATAGGCTAATCCGATCGGTGAAACGGACTCGACTATAACCTATGCTCACCGTCCCTGCCTACATATTTTGCGTTTACGTATGGAAGAAACATTTCTGGCACAATCGGATCCAACTTTCTAAAACTGAAGAAACCCACCGTTACTTTATTACGTTCCAAGATATCGCAGATAAGATCAGGCTACAAAAAGCTCGCGGAATCAAAGTAGCCTTTCATAACGGACGATTTCTGGTACATCGTAGATCGCGATATATAATACCTACAAAGTGAAATGCTCGCAAATTGACTATGCATATATATATATATATATTCGGTATATAAGAATAATAAACAATTTTTTTTATTGGACATGCGATACGTTCGTTTTTTCTTTTTTTCTTTTTGCACGCATGACGTAATACGTATTTCGCAGTTTCTCAGACTTTTCTCCATTTTAGAAACGTTATATTTTACAACTTCGTCGCGGTCACAACTAATCCTAAAATGATTATCCCGCTCGAAAAAGAACGGAAATTTGCGCCTCGATACTACACCACCAATCATATTTTAAGCTTCCAATTCTTTATCCAAAATGAATTAACCACACGAGGCCATTGATACGAACGAAATTCTTACGATTATTTGTATCGTGGTATGAATCGTAATACTCTGACATATATTTATTATGTGATTTTATTAAAAAAAAAAGTGGCAGTTCGAGAGAATTAATTTTGATTTTTAGAAGAAAAATAACGTAAGATATAGCATGGAAAATTAAAATCCCCCGGCATCGATATATATTTGTAAAGTAAAATGCTATCTTACTTTGCAGACTCCACTTATTACTACTGTAACGGGGACACGCTGGCGTCTTCCCACACCAATTCGCAGCAGGGCGGCGGATGTAATAACACAGGACCAGAGAACAGCACGGACGTGGCTAGTCGCTCGCCTTTGGCTGCTACCAGAGCGAGCAGCGGTGCGAGTGCCGCTTCACCAACCGGAAGTGCATGCACCAAGCCAGATCATACTTCCACGCCAACGGACCTTTATCTGGCCTGATTAATCGATGGCACAGGAGATCAATTCCGGGCGGAGGGTCTTTCTGGAGTGGGAACAGCGACCAACGAGTTCGGACGCCATATCACGAGGAACCATGCTGAAATTAAGCAATGATCTCTTTTATTAAACGGTTCGGGAACGAACAGCCAGGAACCGTTATCATCGAATAAAAGATCGTAACACGGACGACGAATTCCCGTTAAGAACAGGATGGAGAGAGAAAGAGAGAGAAAAGAAAAGAAAAGGCGAATTATGACCAGATACGCGTCAATGCAACGCGACATTGAATCACGATTGAATCGCGTGTCGCGTTTGGGGATTTCGTGTCGATCAGCGCGTGAATCGCGAGAGAGATAGAGTACTTTTTTTTTTTTTGAGAAATTTTCTTAACAACGTTAACGACGATGATCGAATCCATCGGAATCATCGATCGTAGCCGTTCACACGACAGCGCTCAATGGAACGAAACGTGTTCGATCGAACATCGAACGCTGTTGCAAATTGACCGGACGATTGTCCGTGATAATTGTGGTTAAAAAGTCGTTGTAAAACGTATAACCCGGGAATAGAAAACTTGGCTGATCAATGATCAATGATCTTATTTACGAACATTGAACGGACGGCAAAACGACTCGACGAGTGTCTGGTCCAGAGCGACACTAAGGACAATTCTGTCTAATTGCGTGGTCGGGATTACAGGTTGGCCGCGATGCGTTACCGACAGTGTCGCTACTCACGTAGAGTGCGCATAATCATAGGTAGTTTAATTTAACGATCCTCAGTTAGTATAATTTCTACACAATTCCCGCGATCGGTCGTCTCTCCAAATGTGCCCGTGCATTCCCGACAATTTTGCTCTCGTACACCATTGTTAAAACGTATCTTTGTAACGCGAATGTAGTTGGGCACATTTGGTTACCGACGGCGTTAGAACGTGTACATAATATATAAAGTGAAGGAAAAAAAAAAAAATTATATATATAAATATATACATAATATTATCCGTGTAAAACAGAGTCAACTGCCCAACACGGCACGTTCTTTCTTCTAATAAGCACGACGACCTATCCTCCCTCCCTCCCCCATTCCCCTGTTCCCTCCCCTCCCCCCATTTACCCACAAAACGATATAAGTAATTATAGTAGATATAATGGATAAGTTTATTGAGATTTTTAAATCAGGAATCGACGTAACGATCATTACTGTTAAGGATATTATATATATTTTTTGTAGAAACCAAAGACCACAGACGGATTGCCGAAATGAGAATTGCGTGGCGTCGCGTAGCTACGGCTAAGGCAGAGTTTTATGGCGGTTCGAAAGCGATTTTTAGACGGATGCGCGTGTTTGCGAGCGACGTACGAGGATCGACGTAAATGTACAAAACAATGGGGGAAATGCAAATCGAGAAATCGGGAAAGCGTGAAAGGCGAAACGAAGTCGTGAAACGCGGGCTCTACGTCATCGCGGTCGATTCTTTCGCCGAAGGTAACGCCATCGTGAATACGCAATGAAAAAAAAGATACGTTACCTTCGATCGAAACTGCCATCTCCTTCGTCGATCACAAATCGTCCAATGTGGCAATATTCGCTGGCATGTAACGAATTTCATCCCGTGGTGATTTGATTCTTTTCCCAAACAAAACAACGGACACTTCCTTGATGGCCGGTTGATCGTGATGATTATTCCCGCGTTCCGTCCAACGCCTTCACTACACTACACTCGCACAACACACAACCACGGAAATCAACTAGCTTCCGGCACCGCGTCGAGCGTAACGTTTCGAAAAGAGAGGAGAGAAAAAAAACTATCGCGGAACCGTAATTAACGTCTGGCCACGGCAACTTTAATGAGAAGTTACGTGCTTGCAATTTCTTTATGATTAACGGGCAAAAATGTTAATTTGTAACCTTAATAAGGAAATTTACGCGCGCGTGTCCAGCGCCTTTCGATCGCGCATACGATATGCGCCGGGCATGCGCGCTGCGTCTAGAAACAGTACGTACATGCGCGGTATAATTCGAACGTATTTATTTGTTACTCTATATTTTCTTCTTTTAATTTCTCAATTATACGAGCTACTTTTATCTTTCTACGAAGGTAATTATACGTTGTCCTTTCTATTTAATAGAAATGCAAATAGTGCAATGAACATAACAAAATAATTTTAATTATTTTTATAAGTTATCAGTCTTGTGTAGAGAGACGTTTATCAACGTATCATCGCGTCTCGCTTGAGAAATCTACCATGAAATGGATTTCCAAGCACAATTTCGCTCGCATCACAGTTATCTCATAATTAACGAATTATATTTTCTCAAGCGTGTCTCGCGCGAACGATAATAGTTCGATAATTTTGGAATATCTTGTTATATATTTATTATTCATTTTTAAAATAACGTATCTTTTTAATTTTATTGTGATATATTTCTATATTATATATATATATTCATATATTACAATAAAATTAAAGGAAAAATATATTTTTAAAAGTACATTTTTATTATTTAATATATTTATTCGAACGTTTAGCAAACGACTCGTACGATCTTTCACCTTTCCATCATTTACCTTTAATATTACGCGTGGTATCGTTAGACACGATTCACAGACGGAATCGTAGGGAAACGATCCGAACATCGTCGATCCTAAGCGTGCTCGCAACCGATTGTCAGATCGTTCATCGATCCGAGCGTCAAACGAACAACTTATTCGAATTATCTCTTCGTCTACGACTCGGTCTCTCTATTCCACCGATCGTTCGACAAAATAATTTCAAAACCGATACTACACCCCTTCCTGTTAGTTGCGTTCTTTACGTGTTCAGCCCGCCAACGCGATTACGTTTCCACCGTGTTTGTCGCAAGGACGAAGGATTCGTAGCCGCGATCTCTCATTGCTGAATAATTGCTATTTATAAATTGTCGTATCGTAGCGTTACGTGTCGTAATAAAATTGTGTGCAGGAAGAATCTGGGGCATGGAAAACGGTATAGAGAAGAAAGACACAGAGAGAGAGAGAGTGAGAGAGAGAAAGAGATATTGCGATCATGCTTAGTATTTCGAGGCTGCAACAAATTCGAGTATTAACACTGTTTTACACTCGCGATATACCTGCCAACCGATGGAAATCAATCTTCTTTCGTTTCACGTCTAATGTTAATTTCTTTTTTTTTTTTTTTTTTTTTTTTTTTCTTCTTTTTTTAAAGGGGATACCTTCGGTACACATACATACACATCGATCTGACTTTCATTACGATTTTTATAATTTGTCGGGATTGTAATTGACTAATGCGTACTTCACATTGTTATTCTATTATTATTATTATTATTATTATTGTAACGATGATGATTATGAATTCTTCATTTTATTATTATTATTTTTTATTCTATTCTACTATTATCGCTATCTTATTTTTCCCATTATTCTCATGATTTATTATTAATATTATTATTAATATTATTATTATTATTATTATTCTAATTATTATTATACTATTATCATCATTATTATTACACGATTATTTAATGCCTTTATTATTTATTAAATAATAACGACGACCTATGTGTAATAAGTTTTGCCAAAGAAATTCCGTTGAATGAGAGAGAGAGAGAAAGGAAGAGAGCAATATCGCGGTAACGTTTCGAACTTCCATAAAATGGAAGTGTTTTAGAAGAAACAGAATAAAAGAAAAAAAAAAAAAAGAAAAGAAAGAAAGAAAGAAGAAAAAAAAAGTTTTGAAGAGAGGAAAGCACACGATAATGTTAACGTCGAATCGTAAATAGAAGAAAAAGTAAAAAGAAAAATCACGACGCATCACGAGAGGAATCATTTTCCCGCGCAATATTCAAACGGAGTTATGGATATATCCTTAGTAGCAAAATATTTGTGAAAAATCGAGATTTCAGTTTGAACGCTGCGCTCTCCGTGAATTTTTTTTATTCGAATAACAAACAATTCTCTTTTCTTTTATTATTTTTATTTTTAATTTTTTTTTTTTTTTTTTTTCTTCCTCCCCTCCTTCATTTCGCTGTCATTTCGTCCCGTGTGATATTATGATTCTTGTTTCGTGCGCCGCTCTTGCCGAGTCTCGCTGTTGATACTTGCAAACAAAACTCTGTACATCCTTTTTAAATAAATATGAGGTTTATATGAAGTTCGTTTCATCCTATTTCCTATCATCACTTTGTGCTAAAAAATATTTGTTAGTTTACAATTCGTATATAAATTAAACAATAATTACAATTTGATAATTAGATGCGTTTATATTTAAAGATATCTTCATAGTATTTAGACGATTCTAGAGATTAAATAAATATAAAAAGTTGGTGTATAAAAATGTTGATCAAGATTCATTTATTGAGTTATATAACTATTGAAATTTGAATTTCAAAACATGTTCCATAAATATATCAAAAATATATCGTCTTGCATAGTATAATGATCAGAAGCAAAATTTTATAATATAATATCTGTTGGAAAGTGAGAAAAAATTGAAATAGCATTTAAAAGAAGTAAGATTATTGTTGACGATATTAAGAAACGTAAAAAGTTCGTGCAAAAAGTAAATTATTTGAAAAATTATTTGAAATCATAGAGGGCGTAAAAAACAGCGTGATTTTTTTCAAACTCGATATTACAGAACTTGCACAAAGTTCCGTAAGATGTCGCATCCGTTCAATATTTCATCCGTTGCACAAGGTAAGAAAACTTGATACAGATTTCTCCATTATCCATCGTTGCAAAAAACAAATTAATTTTCAAACTGGCATTAAATTTTTATTGAAATTTATATCTAATATAGAGATACATTATGCGTGATTTTATAAAAAAATTATTATATCTTAAGTATTTCAACCATACATTTAATTCTAACAAAAATATTGTACTTCACGCTTAGACAATCTAGTTATCTAATGTTAATTAAATTTAATTGCTACGGTACAGGTAACGCGATTCGATTAGAAATAAGTATTATATTGCCGTAAATTCTTTAGATTTTTCACTTCTTGTAAACGTAACTCTCTGCACCGCCTCTGCCGAAACCTGCAATGCGTAAAAATAAATGTTTTAGTTTACCTTTTAGACTCCATCGAGATTGCAACAAGGAAGAAAAGGATTTAAAAAATTCTTCATTAATGGTCATTAAATTCCTCTAATTACACCAATATAGAATAATTAGAAAATTCCATTTCAAATATTATCATATTAAACGTTAATCTTTAAATTTTTAATCACTTTTATTTCATTTAAATAAATAATTAAATAAATAAATTATAAAATATCGAATACGAATTTTCATATAATCCGAAGAATGATTATTAAAATAATTTAAATTCCAATTTTATATTTGAAATGAAATATTACATGTAACGAGTTATATAAACTCTACATATATAATACAAATAGAATCGATCAAAACAAAACGGAGCTCGACGAAATTTCAAAGAATTAGAAATAAGCCTGATACATAAACATAAGAAGAAGGTTATCGATTGTTAAACACGGAATATATTTCTCTCGAAATCTTCATTTACTACTCACCTCCCGGACCGAACAGAGCGGCGTAACACGGATGATTACAATAAGGTTTTCCTTCGTGTTCCGAATGGCTGCCGGGTGTCAACGTTTTGTTACATTTTTCGCAACGTAAACACGATCCATGCCAATCCTTGCCCAACGACGTTTTCCTTTCGGCTGTAAAAAAAAAAAACGTAAAAAACAAAAATCATGGATTCGTGCGAAACATCGATCACGTATTCAAGTTTCGTGCCGTGTAAGTCGATTGTCCGCTTTCGATGTCACCGTGTCTACGAACCGAGTGATTCACCGGGCGAAATGGAAACGGGGAAATTATTACGTTCGATCAGGCTTATTCGAGTGGCCTCAATCCACTTAAAGCCATATACGGCTGCGTTCCCGATAAAGAAGCCTGAAATAAGTTCAATCAACCCTGTTGACTTCGGTATAAACCGGTGCAAACGGTGTTTCGTCGGTGCAAACGAAACGAGGGATTACGTAATAATAAGTTTCGCGATCGGATAACGATTATCGCACTGTGTATACGCGTCGAGGAATTATCGCTTATCGCGATGCACCTATACTTTACTGCGCAATTCGAAACCACAAAGGTTAATTCTTTATCAGGTAACCAAGAAATCCCGTCGCTCTATATTTTATTAATTAAATTAATTTATTTAATTTCTCTTTTTTCTCATACTTTTGTAACTCCTCTTCAAGAAAACAACACTCTGCGACGCAATTAGGGATTTTAAAACGCCTCGAAAACAAATCGTGGAATAACAGTATCGAAGTAACTAGAAATCCATTTTCCTTCTATACACTTGAAACTTAACAGAAAGAAGAAAAAGAATCGAAAGCTCGATATTACGTTACAACGAAAAAACAGAAGACGTTGGAATTATTTAATCGAAATCCAACCTCTCATCCACTCTCTCTCTCTCTCTCTCTCTCTC